CACAACAAACCATCACTCAGAAAATTGATTTGCCCTAATGGGTCACAGAAATATTTGTATTTCCTGTTCTGTCCTTCATGACTTACAAATATCTTAAAATAATCAGGTATGTAGATATGTATGTATGCATGTATGTTTACAGGGGGTAATTAAATCTTACAGGCGAATAGTTTTGCACTGTTTTAACAAAATGGAAGAGGTCTTTTCTTGGGCACAAAGAAAAGAAACCATGATAAATCAGCCCATGAAAATGAAGAATCCCAGTGCTGACACAGGAACAGATCCTGAGTTTATTAGGCAAGCAGTAGAAGAAACAAAAGAATGAGGTTTACGGTAAAGTTAGACCACTTTCTCTCAGTATAGCTTAAGTATTATTGTCTTTGTTATCCAGTATGTACAACCCATGTGTTTTGTGCTTATCTTCAGGAAATTCAAATGTATATTCTGAGTGATCATCAAAACTCACTAAAAGGAACAGTGAAGCACAATTAGCTAGGATAATTTAAAATGGTTCATTGGAATTGATCAAAAAATACATAGAGGGGGCAGCTTAGACTTTAAAGAGCTTGGGAATATTGGTGATCATTTTTTTGGCCATTATATTTGATGAGGATTATATGTATTTTAATTTCAGTGAAACGTGTACTCTTTTCTTGCATGTAAGTTTTGTCTGACCAGAAAAAGTGGAATTTGGCCATTTGTCTGGAATTTCTAAATGTTTAGTATCCTGGAGGTCCTAGTGATGTTGCCGCTATACACAGATTGACTGTCCAGTGCATGCACAAGATGTCCAGTGTGATCACAATGGGAGAATGATTGTGCATGTGTTAGTTGTTGTATCTACTCAGGATTTTCCTAGGCATGCTGTTCTTTCTGGTATGAATGCCTTTGTACATCAGTAACTTATATAACTATGTCTGTTTCCAAAAGGCAATGTATGTAGAAGAAATGTGATACTTTTTTCCTTTCTAAGAAGAATTCTATCTTGTCTACTGCTGCAGTATTCAGAGGGAGAAAATATGAGCAAAGAAGGATGGTTGCACAGATAAGGCATAAGACTAAAGATCAGGCGTGGGTATGTCATTTATTTTAGCTGGTGACTCAATTCCCCATACTTAAAGAGGAGATAACTCCTCTTACCATACCATTAATGCACAAATTAACCCAAGTGCATAAAAATCTATGGCAATAGTGTGTGTGCCACAAAGCAGGTACTCATTTATTTCCTAAGGGGTGTCTAAGGAAGACTGCCCAACTGCTTTGACAGCCTAAAAGCTGCAGTCTAAGGAACTATTTTGCCATCTCTCTCCCATTTTTCCAAACAGCAGCACTGTCATCCAGTGTATTGGAAGGTCATCTAACCTGAGGGGACTGAAACAGCTGGTAAGTGTCTATATAACCTTCCCATTTATTAAATATTATGTAGGAACTTGCAGTGCCTGAGTACCAAAAAAACGCACCCTTGGAATTTCTTTGGAATTCTTTGCACCTGCTCACAATCCCTTATTACTAACATCCTGCTCTAAATTTGGCCTCCAACATAGATGCCCACATGACATGCACTTGGCTTTATAGAGAAATTATCTTCAGATATTGAAATAGATTGTGAAGAGAGACTTCCTACTTAGGCATGAACTTTCCTCACTCTCTAAATATATACAGTTATCCCAACTGTTATATACCCTACTGTGTCCTTGCAACTATGGAAAAATCATATCAAGAAGGAATTGAAAGTAAAACTTTGCAATATATAGCAATAACTGCAGCACAAATGACGGCAACAGTATACCTTCCTGCTATGCGTTAACTTCATCTCTGCTGGCAAAGTGACAGCAAGTTTGGAGAGAGAAGAGGAAAGCAAAACAGAGCGAAAGAGATCATCATTTGAAAATGGAAGTAGCAGCCTCCATGTTGTGGTTGAACCCCAGCCAGCAAGTAAGCACCTTGTTCACTCTGCCCAATAGGATGAGGGAGAGAACTGGAAGAGTAAAAGTGAGAAAACTCGTGGGTTGAGGTAAAGACATTTTAATAGGTAAAGCGAAAGACACGCACGCAAGCAAAACAACACAAGGAATTCATTCACTACTTCCCATCAGCAGGCAGGTGTTCAGGCATCTCTAGGAAAGCAGGGCTCCATCATGCCTAATGCCCCTCCTTCCTTCTTCTTCCCCCAGCTTTATATGCTGAGCATGATGTCATATGGTGTGGAATATCCCTTTGGTCAGTTGGGGTCAGCCGTCCTGGCTGTGTCCCCTCCCAACGCGGGTGGGGTGAGAAGCAGAAGAGGCCTTGACTCAGTGTAAGCACTGCTCAGCAGAAACTAAACCATCTCTGCATTATCAACACTGTTTCCAACACAAATCTAAAACATAGCCCCATACTAGCTACTATGAAGAAAATTAACTCTATCCCAGTCAAAAGCAGCATACTCCACTTCTTCAGGTGCAATGAGAGAGGACATTAGCTTCCTCTCTGGTTTGAATGCGAAGGCAAATATTTTAATACAATAAATCAAGGACAAAAGCATGTGAGATACTGAGAACTTCACAAGCCTCTGAAGTACCTGGTAGTGAGTCTGGTTGCAAAAGATTGAAAGGTGTTTGGTACATGGAGAATGAATGATTTTGCAAGTACCTATTTACTGTAGGAGGTTTACTGTATATTTCATGCCTACCAGACAGTACCCTATGCCTGCCACTTGCCAATTAAGTCATTCAGCAAAACCAGATTGATTTCCTAACTGCACTACAATGTTTGATCCCCGGATCAAAATACATTCATGAGGATGACTTGAGACTGACTGAACAAATACATCATTAGTAAGCTTTTAAGGCATTATGATACCTGCATTGTCCATCAGGAATTCAGGAAAATTAACTGCAATAAAAGCACAAAGACTGCCACAGCTCCATTTCAGTGTCTTCTTAGAAAATACACATTACCTTTGGAAAGCATAAGGTAAATATACAAATATCCCATATCCCTTCTTGTTCTTTTTCTGATTATTCAATAACTAGGACCTATGTTTAACTAGTGTGGTGGGTTGACCCTGGCTGGGCACCAGGTGCCCATCAAAGCCGCTCTATCACTCCCCGCTCCTCAGCTGGACGGGGGGAGAAAATATAACAGAAGTCTCATGGGTCAAGATAAGGACAGTTTAATAAAGTGAAAGCAAAGGTCGTGCATGAAAGCAAAGAAAAACAAATGATGTTATTCTCTATTTTGCATCAGAAGGCAATGTCTAGCCACTTCCTGGGAAGCAGAGCTTCAGTACAACGTAGTGGTTGCTCTGGAAGACAAAATGCACCCCCTTTTGTCTCCCTTTACTTAGCTTTTATATCTAAGCTGATGTCATATGGTATGGAATATCTGTTTGGTTAGTTTAGGTCAGCTGTCCTGGTTATGTCCCCTCCCAAGATCTTACCCAGCCCCAGCCTGCCATTGAGGGGGGGCAAAAATGTTGGAGAGACAGCCTTGATGCTGTGCCAGCACTGCTCAGCAGTAGCCAAAACACTGGTGTGCTTTCTAGTTGGTGTCCTTTCTAGCTACCAATGCAGAGCACAGCACTACGAGGGCTGCTATGGGGAGAATTAACTCCATCTCAGCCAGACCCAATACAACTAGGTAATTGGATTGTTGGCACCAAAAGCAATTAAAAGCTCTCTAATACTTTCAGTCAAAATTAGTGGTGGAATTCCAGAGCCCTGTGTATCATTCTGTCTTCAGTGTGCCTTGGGATTTTAAAATCCAGCTGTAAACTGACAAAACACTTGATAAATGATGCAACAGGAAGTGGTCTCAGTAACATCATTAGTCTTTCCTATATTCACTGGATCTCTCATCCAGCTCTCCACACATCACCTACCAAGCAAATATACTGACTTTGCACTAGTGTATGTGATACACAGAACAGGGCAAAAAGCAACTGAAGTCGCTGCGTTTATTTACATGATATAATCTGTAATTGATAGATCCTTTTCTGAAAGGTGCTTTATACAAACTAGTAACAGTAGAAGAACTTTATCTCCCTACTCCTGAATAACAGAGAAGAAGGTGGCTTTCTTTAAGATTCTTAAAAGGCTCACACTGCCTTACTGCAGGGACATCCTATACTGTATCATGAAGTCCCTGTGAGCTTGTGACCAGTCCCTGCAAGGGATTCCAGTTTATAGATGGGAAACTGAAATGCTGGCATATCTACAGTAGGGAATAGAGGACAGTGCAGAGATTCCCGGGCTAATTACATCCATGAGATTCACTGCAACACCTTGAAGATAAACTATCCAGGAACACCAAAATGGGATAGCTATTATCATGGTGCTTTATCTGATCCAGCAAACCTGCCTCCCAGAAAGAGCTAATAGTCTTGGGCAGGTACATTCTGGGAGTCCACAAATTCTGGCAGAAAGCTTCGCTGCAATGTAGATGTATTTGCAAGGGAGAAAACAGTGACCAAGTAGGATGGTCTGTGACAGAAAAAGAGGTAAGCTCAGTTCCCCTTGAAGAGCCTGGACACTGCCCCAGCAGTAGAACAAGGAATGTGACAGAATGTGACCTTGTCAACAAAAAGCATCAGTTTGTTGTGGCAACAGGGCAGTTATGAAGTCAGCCAAGGGCAGAATCTCTGCAGTTGTTGTGTCCTGGCCTTTGAACTGGGACAACTGCTTTCACATTTTCTGTATGGAAATCCTGTGAAGAGGAGACTGTTGCCTTATGTTTAGCCTGCTACCTGCCCTGTCTTTGGACATCAGTTACCCATGGTAATCAGCTTGCTTTACTTTCTTCCTCTTCTGCTCCTCTTCCTCAAATTCAATAACAAACAAATTGTCTTACTTGCCTAAATCTTTTCTCAGATGTGAAATCTATGCCTTATACCACTTTTATAAAATGCAGTAAGTACTCTGAGCCTGGAAACAAGAGAACTCTTAGTTCACATACTGAAATGTCTATTTAGCTCCAGTCAGTTAAAAGGATAGTATTGACTTCCAGCCAATAACTAGATGTACCCTACAAGTTGTGATCTGACTATGCTGGAGGCAGTAAGAAACTCCCCAGTCTAAGGCAGATTTTCAGTCAAGTTTTATTTCCATGAAAGAAAAGCCATCCTTCTTCTACCTGCAGAAGGATATTGATTATGTTATATTTTAAAGAAGTGTGATACACTATTCTTACTTCCTGGGGGCTCCCAGCCAGCTCCATGGGTTACTGTAAAGGGAATTGCTGACAAATTCTCATCTTAAAAAGCCTGCAAGTGAGATTTTCAGAATATCTGCCTACAGACCTATATCCAGTGATATTTTTTGTTATTCATATCTAGGCAAGGAACATGATGGAATGCAAATAAGAGTTAAACCCCTAGCCACTTTCATGTAGGCTCCAGTATGCCCTTTGTGTGTGTGCTTACATTATTTGCAGAGTCACTCCTTTTCTTATGTATGGGTCACCTGCTTCATTGTCAGCACATAGATATCCCCGTTCTATTCTAGAACATCCCTGAAGATGCTTTAACATCAGTGGAGGTCTCCCATGTTGAGACAGGAACTCTGTTTGCTGAAGACTGGGAAATACAAGGAGATTTGGAAGACCTCTGTGATCTAGAAGGATCAGAATATTCCTTCCAAACAACCATGGAAGAGCTTGAGGAAAATCAGAAAGATATTCAACTTACTTTACAGGAACCCCAGAATAATGATAACAAGAAGCAGCAGCAGGAAAAGATGGTAAGTGGAAGATACAGTTCTTCCAGATGTAAAACTACAGTGCATCGTGGAACATGTAGATCAGCCAGGAAATCAAGTGTGCAAAGGAAAGTGAGGATCATGAGATATTTGAGTTATTTCTCAGAGGTAAAGAATCTCAGTGGCTCCCTTTTCATGGGTTAACATCAAATTCACAAGATGTGAAATCCTTCCATTTGGTCAAAAGAGCCATAGTGTTTGGTTTAGATCAACCAGGCCCTCGTTAAATATTTTTATAATTTTCTTTGCATTTTCAAACCAGAGAATTTTTATATGGTGGATATTTTGTATTTTGTAAGACAATATTCAATGGAAGATTTCTTTTCCAAGTCTAGGAACAAACTTTTTAAAGGGAAATAATGGATATTAGAGAACTAGTTAGTCATTATACAAATGTGTGAATAATCACTTGAACAAATATTCAGGTTTTAGATTAACATATTCTATTTTCACCTCTCAGCTTAAATACAGATTTTACCTCCCTCTCTCCAATTTATAGCAGGGAGCCATCAGAGACATGACAACATCATCTTTCATCTCAGACAGTAAAAGAGAGAGTTTGGACACAGTGTCATATGGCACATTTGGACATGAAGGAAGGAACCAGTGCTTTCCAGTCAGAAGTATCTACCAGTGTAGAGGAGCTGGAACAGCTCTGTGGCAAGGAGGTCACAGCAGCTGATATTGAGCTTGAGAGGATGAGGTGGGATTTTGTGCTGGCTAAACTGAAATATGAACACGAGGATAATGAAAAGCAAAGGCTTCATGAAGAGAGAATGCAGCAGATTCATCAACAGGCAGTAAAACGATCGGTAAGTAGGGAAAGGAAAAAGGGTTGAACACTATAGAGACTGAAACATTCACATTCTATAGTAAGCAATTTGTAAGGTTTTATTCTTTTGCATGTTGAGCAGTACTGGGACTTCTTTTAAAGTTAGACTTGACTAGGTGACTTTTACGGCTTATACATACACTTAAGGAGAATGGAGTTGTTCTACTTCCTACAGTGTGAACTATGGTAACATTCATTGCTATAAAATATATTAAAGAACAGTTAACTCACAAATTAAGTTTATGACGTAAGGATCCAATAACTTTTTTTCTCCTAATTTTCCCCCACCGAACATCAGAGGAATTACTCTGAATGCCACTTTGATCAGTTTCCTGCTTCTACAGTGGGATCAATTTCCCGGGTTACAGTTAGATGACTCAGATAATAAATGCATGAATAAATGAGTGGATGAAAGAATCTACCAAAGTAATGTGAATTTTCTAGACAATTAGATTTTGCAAGCCTATTTTTTATAGAAGTAGATGAAGTTATTGTATGTTCAGGCATATGAGTCTGTTGTTAACAGTAGTCCAGCCCAGAAGAGACCATTCTATTTGGCAAGGTTTAGAAAATGGGACAGCTGCAAGTCTTGGTTGTGTAGGCTCTTCCTGATCACATTGGCTGTCTGTGGGCTTGACTCTCCTCCAATTTAATGCAGTTTGTCATTGGACTGAGTTAGAGAGTAAGCAGAGTATCTGAATCTCAATCATCAATGTTTTAGAGGTACTTGCATGTTTGTCTTCTCTTGTATGTTCTGTGCTCTAAATCAGGACAGGATGGAAGGATGTGTTTTACACAGTATTTGTAACATTTGTGTTGTGGTTGTACATAGGAGCTCCGATCACACACAATAGTGGCACGCAGCTAAGCACCATAGAAGCCCTGAAGTTTTCCATATGCATATATTAATTTTTTTTTCCATATAGTTAATCCATAGGCCTGGGTAGGATCTCACAATTATGCAAAGTAAATGCATTTCCAATTAAATCAATGAAGTTATATCAGAGAAAAACAGATGAGGATCAGGTGCAATATATATTTGGCTAAATGACTGACATGCATCTGGACTAAGCAAATTAACTACTGAATTCTTTTATTAAATTAAGACCTCACAGTTTGCCCATGAACATATGTAAAGATATGAAAATGACCATGCAGCGAAAAAACATAGGCAAAAGTTTGTGCCACAGCTGTAGAGATGGATACACAAAAGCCTTACCATGGGCATGCACTTACTTCGCATGAATTGCTTTGTGTACCTGCATGCTCATTCTTGCAGTAAATATGAGGTCACTTACCCTCATTTCAGAGGGAGAAAACCTAGCTCATGTTATGGATATGGGTGGGAATGTGACACCTACCACCTAATACAGCGTAGCTGGTTTGCTCTCGGTTCACATACTGGCTTATCTCACAGCAACTTTTTATGAACTAAATGTCCCAGAGAGCCAGGTGGGCTCAGAGAAGCACATGAACTGGGTGTGAGTGGAACATAGTTGTGTGACATAATGTGTATCTTTTCCTTTTTCCACAGTTTAGCCGAGGACTCCAAGACCTACTCTGGCCCCCAAACCCGTATGCCTTGTTCCTATACTGCTTCATCGTTATTCATGTTATTTATACAGTAAAGGAGCTGTCCTTCTACTTTTTCCAAACCCATTATCTGTTCTGTTTTGCTATTGTGGTCTTTTACATTCTCAAAAAGATTTTCCAGGATTACAAAAATAAGAAGAAATATTCTTAAAAAGGCAGCATATTGTAATCTTTTTGCTCCTGTTTTTGCTGCTATTTTATTGTCTTTTACTCACTACACCAATCATACATGCAGGATTTCAACTATTGTTATATGCACAGTAGACTAATTATGGAAAACTAACTGATTTCCTCAAGAAAATTATGACTGAATGACATCATTTGACTTCATGCTGTCTCACCAACATGTTTGGCATCATTCAGGGGCATTTGTCTATACAAATAAAGTTATACACAATAAGAAATCATTTTGGAATGTGTACTTTCTATTTTATCTCACCTCCTTGGATTAACACAGTCACTTGGGATTACCTATAATAAATTATCACAGAGAGGTTTCAGAGTTGGGTTTATTAGCATGGAGGGAGGTGCTTAAGAGAATTTAATATTCTGTTATGTGTTCACTACCATGCACTGGGCAGACACCTTGCTTTGCATTAGGGCTCTCTACCTCTGGGACAGAAGCATTCCCGTCTGTGCTGTGCCATCCTCCATAGCTACACACAGTTTCTATTAGCAATAGACCATCAAGCACTGGCAAGCACATACATGCTGTATAATTAGGGTATAGTGATTTCTGAAGTATCCACACTGATAAGTAAAGATATTAAACATAGCCCCAATAAAAGGCATTTTGTCTAGTGAGAATGTGACTAGAGCCTTTTAATACTATTTCAGTCATGCAATAGAAGATATTTCCAGCAGAGAAAAGGTGAAGAGTCATCTACCATATGGTATGTGAGGTTAGAGTAAGTACAATCTTATCAGCCTTCCAGTGTTGCTAGAATCAGAGCATAATTCACCTATATATCCCCATGCACATGCCTTACTCTCTTTTACTTAATTAAGTTTTGTCTCAGTTTGCATTCTCTTTGCTTTGTGTTCTTAACAGGAAAACAACCTAAAGAGTGTTTGATAATCAGGCTAGGTACAGTAAAAACTGTTCAGGTCAGGGTAAAATAGGTGCAGTCTAACCTTACTCAGGACTGTGTCCATGATGAGTTTGACCTCAGTTAAGATGGTATACTTCGGGCATGCCAGTGGCAAAGTGTTTACAAAACCAATGCCATGTACAAGGCTGTCTGAATCAAGGCAGTAGAGAAAAGAATATCTCAGATCCAGGTGTAGTGACTGGGTAGGTTCCTGACAGTGCAGAATGAGTGCAGAGTGCAGGGTCTTCTCATATTTCCACAGCCTCTGCGTTTCTGAAGCAGTGGAAGGTTACAAGGATGGTCCACTTTACATATACAGAAAAAACTGCAGAAGATTGAAATGAACGATGACACAATCTTCCTGAAAGGAAATTTAACCAGGCAAAGTGAGGTTGCTTGCTGTAGATATAACCTACATATGCAGATTTAGAGAACTAGACCAATCAAAAAAAAGCAAGTGAATAAAAGCTTTATCCCGGCTGCAGTTCCTCTTTTTCCAGCAAAAGTGACCATTACCTGCCACTGAAATCCCAGGCCCCCTCACCCGCCTTAGAATTTCTGTGGAAGGCAATGATTCAACTTTATTTTTGTAAATGACCTGAGAGTAGGACCTGTAAATAAGCTGCTTTTAAAATCCGTGTTTTTCTCTCACTGAAATCATAAGTGTCACCCAGACAACTGAGAGAAACCTGTCCTTTGTTTTCTGCTGAATCTGAAAAAATTTCCTGTAGATAACCTATATATAAATACAGTTTGCAGTAGCACAAGTGACTTAGAATACTTCTCTTCATTGCTGGTAACTCTTGGATTTTGAAGAACAGGAGAGATTATATCAGTCTGCATTTAATATTGTTAATTCAAATGACAGCTAGAATTAGTCACAGATGTGAGACCACTGGAAGTTTCAGAATACAGAGTCTGCACAGAAGCATTATTTTTAATATTCAATGCTAACTTTTGGGGAGGGGCACAAGGAATTGGTAGTCTTTTGCATTTTACTTACTGCACACAGCAGGTAATGCTAAATAGTCTTAAGACAGCTGCCTCACCGTACACACATATTCCAAACATATCCCCAAATCATAAAATCAAGGAGAAAAATAGGTTAGCCTTTCCCTGACAGGTGCTCTCTGAGCCATTGTGGGTACCCATGCTATACTTTTAAACTTATTGCCACATTGATAAGAGCCAGATTATTTTTTTTAAGTGGCAGTTTCTGTGTAGCTGCCTAGCTTCTGGGAACTTCAGCTCAAAAAACTGTTGCAATACCATGAATCCAGTGATAAAGTCATAAGAAGTAGCAACACAGCAAAGAACAGAAAAATCAAACTCGTCTTTAACTGCTTCAGGTCCTTCTGAGCTTTGATCAGCTCTTGCCCTTCACCAGGGTGACAAATACACTCTTTGAGTTGCCTGGCTGTGTCCTATACCCTCATTTTATGACAGTAGGTTCACTCATCACAAAGCGTATGGCTTCATGTGAAACCACAGGGAACTTGGTGGTTTCAGCTATTTTAAGCCTAAAAGTAGGCAGTATTTTACAGCTGGTTTGAGAACCACAGCAGGTAAAAAGAGCTCAGGGTTGTAGCATAAAGCTATTCTGAAGTTTCAGAAGCCACTATGAAGACCCCCAAGTTAACAATTAAAAATAATAATGTCATAATTCCCATAGTTTTTGGCAGCTAACTTGTGGTTTATCAGTACTTGATTTGGGCATTACTGATCTTAACAAAACAAAACGTTTGCCAATTCACCTACTAGCGAAGACTACACTTCACAACGTTTATTTGTCATTCTCCCATAAGGAGGCTGGCTGCACCAAATCAAAGGGCAAACTTGGAAGTGAAAGGAAGGCCCCAACCCACTCCATAACCAAAACTTGTTTTGTGTTTAGCAACTTCATTCTGGGGCCCTCTAGCCAGAAATCTCTCTGAACTCAAAGCTGGGGGAGGGTTTAAAAGGCTGCAAGGGCAGCTTTGTTGCAAAAAGTTTGCACAGGCTGTTTTCAGTGAATTGGTGACTTCAGACCTCACGTTTACATTTTGAGCCCAAGTTGAACTCCTACTTACATACAAGCTTAACAAACGTGATCAAAACTTTCCTCTTCTTTTTTATTTTTCTGCAGTGGAAGGCTAAGAAGAGGGGATGAGGAGAAAGGCAGTGCAGCAGAAAGGAAGATCTTGCCAGAAGATCGTCTGCTATTGCCAGTTCCAACGCTGCAAAGCTCAGCAGGTCGAACGTGAGCCGGCCGAAAGCGGCTCAGTGCACCGGTGAGACCCTTTGCTGTCACTGTGCCAGCCGAGTTAACTCAAGCGAGACGGAGCCTTGCGTCTGTTGGCGTTGCTGGGACGCGGGACAGCACGCCGGTTCCAACGTGCGCCCGATTCAGCAGCTCCCTTGGCTTGCCGGCGAGCCGCGGGACAGCCGCGGCCGCGCCCC